AATGGCTTCAACTTTGAAGGATTGAACCCAGGGGCTCTTAACCACCAAACCACATCCCCAACCCTTATGTTTTTATTTAGAGACAGGATCTCGCTAAGTTGCTGAGGCTGGGTTTGAACTCATATTACTCCTGTCTAAGCTTCCCAAGCTGCTAGGATTACAGGCATGTGTTACTGTGCCTGGCTGGTTGTACCTCTTAAATGAGTTTCCTGAAGAGGCTAAGCAGGTAATTCTGCTACTATCATCCTTATAGCATTAGTTCTGACCTATGATAGGCCTCCAGTCAGTGAGAAACCAGTGAATTAGTAATATATAAACAGCAATAACCCAATGTGTTTTTAATACTAATATTACTTATTGAGCACCAATGTGCCCGACACTATCACAGTATTTAGAGATACAGTGTTTACCCACCTTGCATCCACTCCCCTGCTCACAGGGCATACTGTGATATGCCATTCAGATTCTCATGTTAGAAAATTTAGTTCCCTTGCTTGTGGGAGTGCTGCTGGCAGACAGACCTCAATTGCCAAATCTTAATTTCCTTTACTGGAGAGAGCCACCTCATGAGGGCACTCTCATTTCTGGGGCAGCATGCCTTTGAAGATTAGTCCCATGGCCCCATATTTGGACAATCCAAAAGCCCATCTTGGCTTCAGAGTTTCCATTAAGGTCAGCTGAGACTGCCTTTAAGATTGCAACCTTGCCTATGTTCTCCCTCTGCCCAATGGAGCTTCCTTTCTCTGCACAGATATCAATCACTAATCTCTGCACTAACATCCATCTTAAAGTTGGTTTCTCAGGCAACAAAACTTGGGAGCAGAAGTTCTGCAAGAAAGCAGATTTTTATGTGAAGCAAGAGACCTGAAATTATACTGCAGAGCTATTGTAACAAAATACCAGACTTTAAATTATACTACAGAAGCATGGTCTTGGCCCAAAACAGACATGAAGACCAGTGGAACAGAAGACAGAGACAAATCCACATATGTACAGTTATCACATATTAGACAAAGGTGCCATAAACATACATTGGAGAAAAGATAGCCTCTTCAACAGTTTTTCTGCTGGGAAAACTGGAAATCCATATGTAGTAGAATGAAATTTAACCCCTATATCTCACCTGGGCTGGGGCTATAGCTCAGTGTCAGAGTGCTTGCCTGGCACACATGAGGCACTGGTTCAATCATTAGCACTGCACAAAAATAAACAAAGGCATGCTAATAAAAAAATTTAAAAAAAAAAACTGGATCAAGGACCTAGGCATTAGACCAGAGATCATATTAGAAGAAAATGGAGGTCCAACTCTCCATCATGTTGGCATAGGAACAGAAGTCATCAACAAAGCTGAGAGCACAAAAAGTAAAATCAAGAATCAACAAATGGGATGGTATCAAACTAAAAAGCATCTTCACAACAAAGGAAACTATCAAGAACATAAACAGCCTATAGAATGGGAAAAAATCTTTGCCACATGCACCTCAGAGCATTAATCTCCAGATTATACAAAGAACTCAAAAAACTTGACACCAAAAAAGCTCCCAAATAACCCAATCAATAAGTGGGCAAAGGAACTGAACAGGCACTTCACAGAAGAACATATACAATCAGTCAATAAATATATGAAAAGTGTTCAACATCTCTAGGAGTTAGAAAAATGCAAACTAAAACCAAACTGAGATTCCATCTCACTTCAGTCAGAATGACAACTATCAAGACTACAAATAACAATAAATGTTTGTGAGGATGATGGGGAACAGTTACATTCATACATTGCCCGAGAGGCTGCAGATTTGTACAACCACTCTGGAAAGCAGTACAGAGATTACTCAGAAAACTTGGAATGGAACCACCATTTGACTCAGTTATCTCACTCATTGATATATACCCAAAGCACTTAAAATCAGTATATTACAGTGACACAGCCACCTCAATGTTTATAGCAGCTGAATTCACAATAGCTAAGCTATGGAACCAACCTACGTGCCCTTCAACAGATTTATTGATAAAGAAAATGTGGTATATATACATAATGTAATATTACTCACCATAAGGAAGAATGAAATTATGACATTTGCCAGTAAATGGATGGAACTGGAGAACTATCATGCTAAGTGGAACAAACCAGTCCAAAAAAAAAAAAAAAAAGGCCAAATGTCCTTTCTGATATGTGGATGCTAACATACAATAAGGGGCAGGGGAGGAAAGAATAGAAGTTCATTGTATTAGACAAAGGGGAATAAAGGGAAGGGAAAGGGGATAGGAATAGGAAAGACAGTAGAATGAATCAGATACAAACTTTCCTAAGTTCTCGTATGAATATAGGACCAGTGAGACTCCATATCATGTAGGGTTTTACAAGAATAGTATCCTAATTAGAATGTTATACTCCATGTATGTATAATGTGTCAAAATACACTCTACTGTCATGTATATCTAAAAAGAAAAACAAAAAATGTTGAAAGTAAAACTAATAAAGACAAATAAACAAATCATCCAATCCAAAATATGAAGGAAGGAAAGGAGGGAAGGATTCTTCCTTGGAATTTTATACCCGGTTCTGTCTTCTGATTTACAGGATGAGACCCCCTGACTGGTGGTAGATAGAACACATAACCCCTAGCATACTGTGACAGTGCAGTTAAAACCTTCACCAGTAGTGAACTGGGATGGCATGCCAGCAGAAGGGCATGTACTGATTTATACAGGTGGTTGAGAAATCCAGAGAGAACTGGTAGCAAAGGACAGTGGAACCAATGGACTGCTGTTAAGCTTAACTGATACTTTGGAAAAAGATGAACAAAAGTGATTTATGGGCAGGTAGGAGCAAGTGTGAAAACCTCCATGGTAGCATATAATGAGAATCTCTGTTCTTGAAGCCAGTGGAGAGAAAGCTGGGACCAGACCCAGTGCTAAATTGTGAGACTAGTAGAAGTACCAAGAAAGTAAAACGCAACTTCAGCAGGTCTGATATGGTAAGGTAAGGGCCCTGCTTGATAAAAATGGAACTTTGACACAGGAGGAACCATCTAAGTTGATGAACCTGAAAATCTTTTTTTTAATATCTTCGTTTTATTTGTTTGTGGTGTTGAGGATTGAACCCAGTACCTCAGTGCCTTACACTTGTGAGGCAAGTGCTCTACCAGCTACAACCACAGCCCTAAACCTGAAAATCTTGAATCTTCTGGTTTCCTGAAGCTTGTGAGACTACAGAAGTGCCCCCCCATCTACTCTAAGGAGGGCTCATGTGCCCCCTACATTGCTTAAAGACAGTGAAACAATCTCTCTCTCAAGACAACACCTGTAGTCCTCAGGATCTATCACCACTCCCCCTCTCAGAAACCCAGCCAGGTGGATAGAACTATAATAATTGGTGAGTCCAGCATGCCTGCCATAAAGATGTGGAGATAGTCAATAGAAAATGTAAAGTAAATGGTCAGTTAGCAAGGGTACTGGTCAAGCTATATAATTAAAATAAATCAAAATGGAGGACAGGAAACCAAGAGCAGTCACCTCCCAAAAAAGTATCATTTTCTTTTGCTCAATTTCCAGACCTGAGCCAGTTATTGGACTCAGAGCCATTAACTAAAGGAGAATCCAGGCCCATAGGTGAAAAGATCTCATAATACCACAAGTGTGGCAATGATGATTCCCCTGTCCTCCAAAGGGACCTATAGCCACTACTCAGGTAACCATAGGTGGGTGAAAAGGAAATACTCAATATTTTGATGCCTG